ATAATGTTCGTCCAATTTCAGTAGAATTTTCCTTTACCGTGTTTGGTCATTGACTGGCATTAGGTTTCTGTATGTAAATTCTTCTAAGGTATGGTTCTTTAAACGTCTTGACGTGTCTACATTCATTGGTTCCGGCCTAGAGCCTTAGTACTTAATATGTTCCTTGAGTGTTGGTTGGAGCTCACGAGAGTCAGTTCATTTAACTTATTCATGTTGTAAGTAACGTTCGTCCATATATATTATATAATTGTACTCGGTTTCTTTCTCAATCTGACAGTAACCTTCTCGGTCTTATTCTATTATGGAATGAGAGACTTCTCTGTCTCGTTTCAAGTGTTCATCCTCGTTCTGAGTGAGGACTGAACGTTCGGTATTTGATGTCTTAAAATTGGTGAACAAAGATGAAATTAAAATGATGGATAATGAAAGATGAAGAGAATATGAGATGGATAAAATGTTGTGGATTTTGAATGAGCGTTCCGGGGAGGAACGACTCATGAATGAATATTGGAATTTGTAAAGTATGAATGTGGTAATGCTAAGCTAGCGGTTCATCCTGATGTTTCGTGAGTACTCGTCCTCACGTAGAGGAGGGTAGTTCATGTGTGGGAACAGCAGGAGGTCCTAGTCCTTAGGGGTACTTTGGACAGATAGGACTAACCTCGGGTGGCAGCTGTTGAGGGCATCCCAGTTACTACATCACCCGGGTGCACGAACTTCGTAGCTACACAGATTTCATACAGTCTGGATAGTCAGTCTAGTAGTAGGCCTTGCTTGAAATGTACGTTGAAATGTATCTTATGTGTTTGAATGTGAGAAATGCATGTTTGTACTTGATTTAAATTACATAAGTTTACCCTGTGTTTTTCCTGTCCTGTCTTGTTATGTATGTCCGTTCTTGTCATTGCAATGATCATCCGTGTGGATGTGAGTAGAAGGAGACGAGCTGCTGGAAGAAGCGCTGGAAGAAGAAAATTTGGTAGAAGTAGAAGTGAAGATCGAACAATAGGACGTTCGGTCAGTAGTTTAGTTAGTTTGTAAGGAGGTAGTTCGATCACCTTCTCCTTTCGTTTTGTATGACCGTCCGATGTTGGTTTTGTAAACCGTTCGGTCAAAATTGCTTATCTTGTACAGTTTAAGTTTGTAACTCTTTGTAAGGCCGTTCGGCCAATCCGTACGCTCTGTTAGTGTAAGACTGATCTGTATTATGATTTAATGTGATTATTCTATTATATAGTTTTAGACTGTATTTTGGGATGTTACATGTTAAATTAAAAAATTATAAATATTGATAGGTAATTATAAATAATATAATATAAAAATAACCGTTTAAAATTTACACAATTTTTGAAGACTTGTCACGACACTTTTTGTAGAGAGTTTGAAGATGATATGATTTGCTTCTTAAATATTTCCTTTTTTTAATATTATACCGTTTTTATTTTTGAATGATAGTGGTTTAAAAATAGATACAAAACTTAAATATAATAATAATAAAACCAATATTAAAACTTTTCATTGCATTAATGATTAAGAAATTTAGTTTTATCACTTCCGAGTTATTTTACATCCTATACTTTCAAATTTTCATAATGTATTTCAACTTAATAACTTTTTCATGTTATAGACTTATACATTACAACTAAAAAAAATTGCCTATAATGTGTTTCCTATTAGAATTGGACATCGTATCATTATTCAAACTTTGAAATAAAATAATAACTTTAGTAAAGATAATGTGAAATAAACAAGAAGATACTGATGTGCAGCCCGAAAATTGGAAAGTTATATATATGAAAAAAATGTATTCACATCCTGAAAAATGTAAAAAAGTAATATAATATCCTTATTTTTAAATAAGTAGATTAATTATTTATTATATGTATACTTTAACTATAAAAGTTATAAAGAAATCACACACTTTAATTTATATATTTGTCAGAACCATTAAAAACGCACCCAAACCCCTCTGAACGGACGCTAGGTGTCAAGTTGAGGGGAGTCAGAAATCAGATAGTGGAATGCAGGTGTCAGTAGAGGAGCGGACGTTCATTTTAAGCAAAACTGAGTTTTGAAAGTTTACGTCACACTCTCTCTGCATGCACCTTCTTCTCCAAAACTCTGATCTTCATTTTCTCCTTCTTCTCTCTAAAAAGCTCTCCCTTCTCTCTACCGAAACTCACCCTTTCTCTTATCCGTTCAGGCACCGTAGAAGCACTTCTGGCGTCCAGAGCTTCATTTTGAACCGAACAGTTTCGAGTTCTGAACCGGTAAGTTCTTCTGTTCTTAGTCGTTCATTCTCTAGTACATGCAAACCAAGTTCTGGTTGCATGATGTCGTCTTGTCTGAGCCATTGATGGTTTTCTGTGTTTTGTTTAGTTTGAAGAGTTGTTGAGCGTTGAGAGTAGAAGGAATTGTAGTCAGGCGAACCATATTTTGTCTAGGACGTTCGTTCACGCTCAGAGATAAGGGAAGCTTATCTAATTTAATTGTATGTTCGTTTGCACGTTCGTTGATAATGAATGCATGTTGCTGAGTGGTTTAATGTATATAAAGTATGAATGCTGATATGTTTGTTTATATGGAATATGATTAATTAGTATGATATGGATTGTACGAAGTATGAAAATTGATTATGATATGAATTTATAAAGTTATGAAATTTTGTATTAAGAAATGAGTTGAATATAAATGAATCTTGGATATGAAAATCTTGTATTAAGAAATTTCGGTCATTGACTGGCATTAGGTTTCTTTATGTAAATTCTTCTAAGTATGGTTCTTAAAGCATCTTAACGTGTCTACATTCATTGGTTCCGACATAGAGCCTTAGTACTTGGCATGTTCTTTGAGGTGTTTGGTTTGAGCTCACGAGAGTTAGTTCATTTAACTGACTCATAGTGTAAGTAACGTTCGTTCTTGTGACATATAGATGTACTCGGTTTCTTCCTCAACCTGACAGTAACCCTCTCGGTCTTATTCTATTCTGGAACGGGAGACTTCTCTGTCTCGTTCCAAGTGTTGTCCTCGTTTTGAGTGAGGGTTGAACGTACAGTATTTGATGTCCTTAAAAATCCTTGAACAAAGATGGAAATTTAAATGATTAATAATGAAAGATGAATTTGAGAAGATTGATAATGAAAGATGAAGAAAATATGAGATGGATGAAATGTTGTGGATTATGAACGAGCGTTCTGGGGAGGAACGACTCATGAATGAATATTGGAATTTGTAAAGTATGAATGTGGTTATGCTAAGTCGACGGTTCATCCTGATGTTCCGTGAGTACTCGTCCTCACGTAGAGGGGAGTAGGTCATGTGTGGGAACGGCAGGAGGTCCTAGTCCTTAGGGTTACTTTGGATAGATAGGACTAACCTCGGGTGGCAGCTGATGAGGGTATTCCAGTATTCCTACATCACCCGGGTGCACGAACGTCGTAGCTACACAGATTTCATACAGTCCGGACAGTCAGTCTAGTATTAGGCCTTGCTTGAAACGTATGATGAAATATATCTTATGAGTTTGAATGTGAGAAATGTATGTTTATACTTGAATTAAGTTATATAAGCTTACCCTGTGTTTTCCTGTCATGTCTGGTTTGGTACGTCTGTCTTTGTCATTGCAATGATCATCCGTGTGGATGTGAGCAGAAGGAGACGAGCTGCTGGAAGAGGTGCTGGAAGAAGAAAATTTGGTAGAGGTAAAAGTGAAGATTGAAGAGTAGGACGTTCGGTCAGTAGTTTAGTATAGTAAGGTGGTCGTTCGATCACCTCCCCTTTTGTTTTTATTTTGACCGTTCGGTATAAGTTTTTATAGACCGTTCGGTTAAACTTTCTTAAACTATTTAGTTAATTTTGTAACTCTTTTATGTAAGGCCGTTCGGCCATAAGCGTTCGCTCTACTCTAGTGTAAGACTGATCTGAATTATTATTGAATGTGATTATTCTATTATATAGTTTTAAACTGTATTTTTGGGATGTTACAATATTAATATTATAAAATTCTACATACATTAAAACTTGTATTTAGTATTTTATCCCGTAATGTCTCAGTGGTTGTAAATTAACCAATGATCCATAGGAAATATAATAGAATAAATAAAAATAATATTTATAAAATATTTTAAGTAGTGAACTAACCGTTAAGATAAAAGTATAATCAATGTCTGTGTAGTGACAAAAAGAAATATCTTTAGAATGTCCTTATTCATAATAATATACTTTTATTATTTTTAAAGATTTTATTGTTTCAAATAAAAGTTATGAAAATGTAATTAATATGATTGGTATATAAAATTATGATATAAAAAATGCATAAGAATACAATTAATATATACTCACGGTTATTAAATATTTTTTAATTAACTATTAATTTATAATAATAATAATAATGAGTTTACAAACTAATAAAATGTTATTTCAAAATACTCTACATATAATGTAGGTTTAAAAGTAATAAGTTGAAAATAACTATCATCCCATCAATTTTGATTATTTTCTTTTCCATGATAATGGATTCAATAAATAACTTGGATTTATTGTACTACAGTGAAAAGATGAATAAATGGGAGTTTAATTCTTACACAAAGTCACTTATATTTTATATTTTTGAGTGAGTGAAATAATTTTAATAAGTAATGTGTGTTTTGAAGCAAAGTTATCAAATTTAACCTAATTTCTGATCTCAATCAACATCAAATGACACAGTAACTTGATAGTTGTAATTTTTTATTTATCAAAGAGAGTCTCGCATGCGACAAGATTGAGACAACTCAACAGGCAGCGATCAGGCGGGCTTGTATTCGGTGATAATTATCCTTAATAAATGCAAAGGATAACGGTGATGTGGATAATGTTCACCATCCAGTAAAAAGAAAGATCATGAAATCAAAGGGATAAAGTTACTATGATCTATTAGGGAAGTATCATTCACTTCTTCACCTTCTACTCACAATGCCATCTAGAAAGACCCCACCAACTATGCTTTCATTTCAATCTTATTATAAAAAGGAAAACACTACATGTAATCTCTCTCATGAGCTCATAAAAAACATTCACAAGAAAGTAACACTTTTTGTCCCTTTGAAGCTCGCCCTTTTTAGCTTTTATCCATTGATTACCAGGAGACGCCTTTTGTGGTTTTTGATTTTGAGGCTTGACATTCTTAGAGTTTTATCAAAGTTTGCAAAGGTGGAAATTGTGCTCCACAATTTCATTGTTGGGTTTGTCTACTTTGGTTTTGGTTCTTAGGCTGAAACTAGTACAGTCGAAGACACTAATTTCATCTCATGATCTGTAAGTTGAGGAACAAGATCCTTTCTTTCTGAGTTCATACTAATCATGGCACGCTCTTTAAAGAGTGTTTTTATTGTTCCTGAATTGAATGAGAGCATGCTTGGCTCCAAAACAAAAGGAGCTTTGAACAAAGCAAAATCAAAGGGTTGTTCTGTTTTGAACAATGCCTTCATGGGAGAATCTGTTGTCCTAGATGAAAAAGGTTTAGGGTATTGGAGTTCAAAAGCCTCTAGCAGTAGCAGTGTTTCTGTTCATGTATGTTGCACCTTTGTTTTCTGGGTATCTAAGCCTTTTTTCTTCCCAATGGTACTTTATTACTTTATTTTTATTTCAGGCGCAAGCAACAATCAGTGTTAGCAAGAGTTTGAAGTGGTGGGAAAAGAACCTGAAGCCTAATATGACTGAGATCCATTCAGCACAAGAACTGGTTCATTCTTTGCTCAAAGCTGGTGATTCATTGGTTGTGGTTGACTTCTATTCTCCTGGTTGTGGAGGTTGCAAAGCCCTTGATTCAAAGGTATATGTATGTGTCTTTGTTGTGGTGAAAGAATTCTATATACCAACTAAAATTCTTATGCAACTTTTCTTTTTCTTTTTCTTTTTTCTGGTCACAACATTTGACATGGTTTCATGTGACCAGATCTGTCAAATAGCTGGATTGCACCCAAATGCAATATTTCTGAGAGTAAATTACGATGAACTGAAAAACATGTGTCACGGTTTGCGCATTCACGTGTTACCTTTCTTCAGATTCTATAGGGGTGCGGAGGGTCGAGTTTGTAGCTTTAGCTGTACCAATGCAACTGTAAGAATTTTACTTATACTGTTCTCATCATGTGCTATGTTTTTTTTCTTGTCTTTTCTTAAATTATGACGTTATTCTATGTCTATGTTATTGTTATGTAACAGATCAAGAAATTCAAGGATGCCATGGCAAAATATAGCAATGAAAGGTGTTATTTTGGTCCATCTAAAGGTTTGGAAGAATCTGAACTGAAAATTTTGGCCTCAATGGGTGAAATATCAAATGACTCTTCGCTCTTGGTATATCCCAAACATGAGAAAATGAAGAATTTGGTTAATGATTTTTCTGGAGTTTGGAACATGGCTAGTAACAGCAGGGGAGTTATGAAAGACAGTATGTTCTGAAATTGATTTTGAAACTACCAAACAGAGCATTTATTTATTTATTTTGTCTTGTTTTAGGATGAAGATTTTAGTTAAGTAAAACAGCTTACCATTTATTTGTTTTTTTCTAGAATATTTACTAATTTTTATTTATTCTGTAAATTATATTATTTAGTGTTGGGAGAGGGCTTAAGCCCTACCAATTTAATTTTAAGTGTACTGGGATGATTTCATAATTTTTTTTATCTCAAAATCATCGTTATTTATAGAATCTTCATGGTTGTTTAATATAATTCTTTGTTAAAAAATAAGTTCATTATATGTTCAGTTTTATGAAAAGAAGATAAACTTTTGGAAATTAAAATGCTGCATCAGTTATGAATTTCGCGTTTATTGAAAGTCATAATCAATAGATGCTTCTTCCTCATATAAAGTTTTCAAATCAGTTACTCCTTTACCGTCAAGATTAAGCCCTCCACAGATATAGTTCAAAACTGAATGAAAGTAAAAAAGCACTTGAAGAAAATTGATAGTTGACAGAAAATGTGCAGAACAAATAAATAAATAAATTCTGTAAGAGTTATTTTTATATTATGTTATTTTTTATTTTTGTGTAATGAAACAAATTTTTTAATTTAAAAAATATTTAAAATTGTAACAAAAATATTCCTACCTTTTCAATTTATGTCACCAACACCAATTTTAAAAATTAATTTATTCAGTATTTTAGATTGTATGCTATAAAATTATTTATTTTAATTTTTATATATTAAATATTTTACTATCTGTAAATTTAAACAGTACAATCTAAAAAATAAAAGTTATATATCCACACTAAAGAACTTAAAAGATATCTGTAAATATTAAAATAATTGTTTTTAAATATAAAGAAAAAAAAAGTTTATACAACTTCTTAGGAAGTAATTAAATATTAGGAAGATCAAGAGTAATAAAATAAAAACAAATGTATTTTTTTGCACCAATGTTGTAAGTACATTAGGTGCAGCAGTATTGATCCAAGAGAATGATTAACTCAGACTTTGTTGGTATTAAAAAATATGATGGTTGATGAAGATGATTCCATAGTTATAGTCTCTTTGATATGAAATTTAAAGTTTAGATATAAATTATAAATTTACTTAATAAAATTTAATTTATTTTCTAATTGAATCAAATTAATTCAAGATCAAGTCTTAAGATACTCTTAAATATCTTACTTATAGACCATGTTGATATATCTATAAAAAATCTGTTGAGTAAATCTGTGTGCGCATGCTGTTTGTTAAATGCAAATAATCAGGGTGCGAAAACTTGAGCTTAGATATACTTTTTCTTTCTTAATTTTTTAAAATTGTATCAATTTCTTTCTTAATTTTTTAAAATTGCATCAAAAGCACGTTAATAACTATATATGGAATCATTGAAAAGAGCGACAAATGTAAATATTTTTTAATTTTGTTTATAGTAAGATATTTTTTAATTAATTATATTAAATAATGGTAATACTCCTGTCATGTTTTGCTTCTATTTTATAATAATATCTAACCTTCTAGGTGTGTTAAATAAATATGTACTTCCCACTATGATATAATCTGTTTGGAAGATATATAGTTAGAAATTTTATTTCTATCATGTATAAAGATAGAATTTATTACATTTAAATTATTAAATTACTTTTAGCTTATTAAATAATTTAAAAAACTATTTTACTTCTATAATGTTGATTTCTGAAACTAATTATTTTATGTGATTAATGAAAGCATATACCGGTATTATTTATACTTACAATTTAGGTTTAATACTCTTGATGGTTCTTATTTTCGTAAACAACATTTAAATCGTTAACCATCATTGCTCCAACTATGCAAGCACCAAATGAGATGACATTTAACTTCTACCACGTCACTATCTTCTTCAACCTTCAATCCAAACAGAAACCGAAAACCTACTTTCTCTCTAGTCACCTAACCCTAGCACTGCCACCGAACCCTAACGCCACTGCAGTCATAGAGATTGTCCAAAGTCACCATGTCGCCGTGAAGCCGCGCCTGCAGAGAACCATGACAGCCATCACACGCAACCTCCATGGCCACTACCATCAAAGTCGCGATCTCTCCCAAATCACGAAACTCTCCTGAGGCTGTCGCGTTACCCAGATCACCTTCGCGCTTCCACCATCACAGGATTTTCTCAAGCCGCCACTGCCAGCATCTCGTACTTGCAAATCAAACACAAGTACTCAGAAACAGAGAAAGTTGAATCGCACCACCCAAACCGCTAAGTCTTCACCGTCAATAATGCCACAAGTCGTCCTAATCTCGAACTCCATTTGAATCTTCATTCTCGCGCATCAGCCATGAATCATCCAAATCGAGAGCTTCATCGTCAGCGCGACAATCCTTGCCGTCGTCGCGCAAAGCTCCAAGGCCATCATCTTCTCCAATCTGCAGAGAACCACAACGAAATCCAGAAAAATCCCAAATCAAAGAAACCTAGAATCGCGCCGCTGCTTGCCTCCAACGGCCACCATGAGTGTTTTCTTACACAACTAGGTTCGTCTTCTTCACGCTACCATGAGCCGCATAATTTGTGAAATCATCCTCCATTGAAGCAAAACCGCGAGCAACATTTTCTTTCTTCTTACGGCGCAGGTGCAGAAAGGTTTTCCCCAAATGTAGAACCCTAATTTTGGGGTGGTAAAGGAGCTACCACGAAGACTCTACTTTTGATGTGGCAGTAGTTAAATGTCATCTCATTAGTCTTGTGCACACCTGGACTGTCTGCCGTTAACGATTTAAACGCCGTTTGCAAAAAAGACTAAATTGAACAAAAATTACACTCTTTAGGACAACATTGAACAGAAAAAAAAAACTAGGACCAAATCGAACACACCTAACGAAAATAGGGACCATAAAGGGTATTAAGCCTACAATTTATTCATTTTTATACATGGATGGGCCTAGGCCTATTGGTTCAAATACTTGTTGATTTCTGAATCATTGTAGTTAATCATAGGTTATGGTAGTTAAGTGTCATGTTGCACTAGTCAAATAGAGATGGATTGAATACATGTCGATTTAGTAGTCTGACATGTACTCGTCAAAAGACAAGACCTATAATGATATGATCGATACTCGATCATATACAATACACCACCTTTAGGCTATACATATGACATGTTTAAGGCTTGTGAAGAGCTTCAACAAATCAAACATTAATTCTTCATTTTTTACTTTTCGACTAGGATATCAATACTCGATAGTTGTCTTGCAAAGAAAATCATACATTAATAGTCCCCTAGACTCGAGAAGCATAATGACAAAGAGGTTGTAATGATTAGGTGTTAAGTATGATGTGGTGAGGGGGCATAAAGGTATGAGACTAATGTGTTGCACATGAAATGATGCAATGCAAGGAAGGGACAAAGTTGAGATGTTAGCCTTTAGATCTAAAGAGATGAAATGGTTGAGGGGAAGGGGTGGGAAGATGAAAGGTCACAAATTTTGTTATATATAGGAGCCTCATTTGAGCACTAAGTTTTGAGAGATTGTTTTTCTGTCATTATCTTTGTGAGAAAAGTTTATCATTTCAAAATCCTATTACTCAAAAGTTGATTAATTAAAAAGGTATGTCTTACAGAGAGTCAAATATGGGTTTTAGAGAAGATTCAGATAGTAGTCAGATTTCAATGTCATTGAATGCTTCATCATCTTGTACCATGGGTGTGGAGAGGGTATGAATGGGTAAATCCTTTAGATAGAATCAAATTTTCAAAATTTCGATGGTTTAGAATTTAGGGTTTAGGAGGAGTTTCCGAGGATACAATCTCGCTTAGGAGGATGAATGTCATTGATAATGCTTGTCATGGTTGAGAAAAGTATGAAGAGGAATTCTTTTTGGTGTATATAGATTTTTTCTTCTTTTTTTTTTTTGTAAAAGGCTGAGTAGTGAGACCGAAGACTTGTAATTTGAATTGAAATGAAGGAACAAAACTTCTTGCCATCTTCTTGTCTATTTTATGTTTGCATAACTTTTAATTTTTATGTAAACTTTGAATAACAGATTTATATATGAATGAGTAGTATATTCCATGTTACCGTATAATTGTCTTGTTGAAAGAGAAGTTTGAACATTGTTTATTGTTGAGGTTTAACCAGGACTGTCTAGGTAGGCAGCATGGAATTGCATGAAAGGTTCAACCAAGACCGCCTAGATAGGCGGCAGGAAACTACATAGAAGGTTCAACCAGGACCGCTCGGGTAGGCGATAGAAAATTTCTGGAAAGGTCCAACTAGGATAGAAAATTGCATAAGAGGTTCAACCAAGACCACTTAGGTAGGCGGTAAAGAACTCCTTAGTTTCTTGCAAAATATTCAAAGAGAAGTTTATTATTGAAGGTAGAAACCCTTTTTTTTATTGATGAAATGTCTTGTTAAAACCTTCTTGGCCAAAACCCTTCCTCAGGGAAAAAAGACCTAGTATAGAAAGAGTACACTCAAGGTTATAAGCAATCAATTATCTACAAGTTCCTAGCTGAAATAAAACTTTAAACATCTCAGAAACACGGTGTGCCTTATGAAACACTAAAGGTGGTCGACCTATATTAGTTCTTTAACCATATCCATAAGCATAACGCATTCATCTATGGTTGGGCCATTATTAATGGTACTTACAATATTTGTTCATGTTAGCATTCGACGGGTTTTGAGATTTTCTCGACGGCGGTATAAAATCTAACTTGCAATATTAATTCATGTCTACATTCACAATAGGTGTCAATTGTTCTTACATAGCCGAGTAAGTATCCTGCAAAGACTTTCCCGAACTCTTCAAATGTTTTTAACCTTTAAACTTTAGAGTACTCATCCTTCTTGTATTGGATAGTGTGTTTCTGCAAAAGACACTCTAACGCTTAAATTAGTCAGTCACGTCAACAAGCAATAAATGCATAATTAATGAAGACGTAATAATATACCTCGTAAAATATATTATTTATATTTATGATTTATGAGCTTTTTTACCTAAATGGGTCTAGACCTATTAACCCAAATACTTATTTATTTTTTAATCATTATAATTAATCATAAGTTATAATACTAAGTGTATTGTATAATATTGGATTAGCTACATA